AAGAACAAGAAAACCCTAACGTGGGCTCCATTCTTGCTCCTAACTAAGCCCTATTACATGGCCCATTCATACCAAACTAGGTAAAACACGTTTTGAATTATAGGTGTGATGTACAAATGCTAGTCCCTTCTCTCTTTTCTCTATCTACACAAACTTGTCTTTATACACACATATAAATCTGATTTAATAAACATCCTTTACTACTAGGTGTTTTTTCATATTACCAAGGTATTTTACATGACCAGAGATGCACCTTGGGTTTCCCTTAAATAACATGCTCTTATTCTTTCCATTAAACCTAAAATATCTGGTTTTTTTCAAATATCTGTTAAATTACCAAATGTTAATATAAACTAAACATTTCAGAAACACATCTGTTGTAGAAAGCAGGTCACACTTGTGCAAACTGTGAATACACACATATGGTAAAAACAAGTATATTGTTTTAGGAAACCTAAAGAGTAAAACAATAAGAGACTCCTGCTTAGAGTTAGAAGCATGTAATTAAGCCAAATACTGGGCCCTTGGTACATAACCAGTGAAAAATACATGGATTGAACAATTATGCAGAAGTATAGACTTGTCTAGGCATGACCATTGACAGTCATTCTATATCTGAAATGTGTATTTATTTCACAAATCTACTCTATTTAATTCATCTATTTCAGTAATGGCAGGATTATTTTATGAGATTCTTTGTTTTTATCAGATGGCAGGGTTTTCACTATATTCAGATTCTACCTTATGTTATATATGTCTTTTCCTTCAAAATGTCTTAGAGAGAAAAAAAATGTGTCTTAGAGAGAAAAAAAGCAGAAGTGGACAGACTGTTCTAGGACATCCCCTCTTTAGAGATGAGTTTTTTGGCATAAAAAAAGGTTGACTTCCAAAGTGGGTTAAATTACTTCTTCTGTACAGTACAGTGACATGTTGTCTTGTTACAGTGGAACATGTGGGTCATCATTTTGGACGAGCTGTTCTGTGAAGAAGTTTTATTTAGCCCACAAAGCCCGTCCCCGGATTTGTGGGTGTTACCTCCTTTCCATGTTACCAGGTTTTGTCATCATCATTACTGCTTCTGCTCCATCAGCTGTAACACAGCTTAGTAGCAACCCTTCTTGAAAAATAAGATGTTTCTGAAAATAGGCAGAACAGTTGGCTAGACAGAACAGAGACATCAACAGAAGCGGGTCAGCTGTTCGTCTGTGTTTTGCTCCCTGGATCACTTCTGAGACAGTTTCACACATATGTAAATGAATAGGCATTGGGCGAGATTGTAATCTAATATGATCTGTATGTCCTAACACAAACTTTTATCCTATTTTATTAAGGAACTTAAATTACATAAGACTGATTTGGGTCTGAGAATTCTTCAATGTGCCACTTTTGTTCACATTAAGGAGTTTACCCAAATATATTAGCTGGATTTGTGGTGCACTGTTTTGTTTTGTTTTTTCATAAGAAAACTTTGGGATCTGTAAGTAAATGAATAATTCAACTCAACATCAATAGATGGGTCAGTTCTTTATTTATAGTCTGATTACATAGCTGATTCAGCTGAGAGGAAGCAGCGGCTTTATTGTTGCTGGATTTTTTCCTTTGTGCATCTACTCTAAAAAAAATTAGGTCGTGCTGTATTTACTCTCTGGGCAAAATGACATCTTCTAGCTGCTGAGACTTCCTAATAATTTGCAGGAATGACCAATATCAAACAAGGTAATAAGCCCCTCTAATCAATTCTTTGTCAAGCAGAAATCATGCAACATCCCTTTCAGAGCTCAACTTGAAAGACAGATGAGAAATATCTAAGCCACCAGCCAGTCACCACCCCATGGTTTTCCGTACTCGGCAATGCTTGGGCCAAATGCCTGTAAGAGTCCTGCTGGGCAGAAACCTACATCCTGAGTATGACAATAAATTCAGGTTCATCTCTGCTTCCAGATGTTACCTCTATGTCTCAAGGCTCTTCCTACGTTGCATGTAAACACATCAGTGGTATTTTTTAAAGGAACATTTGATTTGCTTTTGTGACAATCTCTTTAGTTAATCTTGGACAAGTTATCTTTATTTCTAAATCTTTTTCATACAGGATTATCGAATACTTTATCACTTCCTCCTTCCCCTCACTTAAAATTCTAGAGTAGGACCCTTAGAGCAGACATGTATGAAAGGCCTTCAGGAGTCCATGAACTAACAAAATTTATGGAGAACCATGCGTGTGTTTCCACATGTACTTGTTCTGAGAAGACTACCTTGTCTTTCTTCAGATTTACAAATGGGTTGATAACTCCCCAAATTTTGAGAATTGCTCTCATCTGGATATTCTCCTCAATTCTATGAGGAAATGCTCAATTTATCACAGGCCACTCTTGGGTTCTACCAAATACTTTAGTCATCACTTTCCTTTACTATTATAATTCAAGCTAGTCTCTTATTTTCTCTTAACTTTCTAGATTTTGTGCCTTCTCTATTCCAATTTAAGTCATAGGAGAAAGAGAGAAAAGAGATGTGTGCCCTGAACCTCTGCCAGTAACAGTGGTTGGCATTTTCTTCATATGGCATCTCATTTAATACCACGGCAACCCTACAAGAAGGTGGTACCCCTATTTTTACAAATGAGAAAAGTGAACTTCAAAAAAGTTACTCATTCCTACAGACTACAAATGGAAGAGTCCAGATTTAAATCCATATTTGAATCTTGTATAGGAGAGGAAAACTTTTCCCTTCTTCCCTTCCAGGTTCTTTGGTTGACTTAGTACTTAAGTTGATGTAACACAGATTAACAGGAGAAAAACAAATTCTATTTCATATGGACAGGGACCTCACCTCAACATGACAGGGCTAAAGCCAGTCAGGCAATTGAAGCTTATACGCCATCCTGAGCTAAAGAGAAGTGGGGAGGGGCCTGGGGCTTCTAAGAGAAGGAACACAGTTCCAGGGAAGATGGGAAAGCAAATGTTTGCAAACAAATGTTTGCCATGCCATGTGAGTAAGTCTGATGTAAAGATTATCTCTGGCAGTAGTTCTCTTCCTGGTATGAGTCCCCTATCTAATTTCTTTCAGGCAGTTACCAGGGAGGTAAAAACTCTTCTTGAGGCTCTTAGGCCTTGATTGCCTTCAGCTCAAATAACCCACATGCCAAGTGGCACATTCAGGGGTGGACAGCCCTCAATCCCTTCATTAGACTTTATTCCTTCACAAAGCCTTTCCAGCCTAAATGGCCATAGCTAACTAACAATATCACCTTTTATAACATGCAAATTACATTTTATTTTTGTTCTCCATCATCAAGAAATATATTCATTATACTTTGTGTATAAACCTAGTACAAATCTACAAATGCTTACATGTTGCTATATTGTATCAATGTTGTCAGCTCATCCCATATTATCATGGAGGACAAGAACCGCTTATACATTCATTTTTTAAAATAACCTGTGCTAAACCCATGTATAAAACTCAGGTATTTACTAAGTTCTGGAAGAGTGGGTCCAAGTTCTTACCTTCATATTAGATTCTACTGGGGAACTGACACAAAATACAACACCTGGGCATTGCACCAGAAATGTTGATTCGGTTAATGGAGGCAGCATTTGGACAGTGTATTTTTAAGAAGCGTTTCCAGCTGTGGCCAGTGTTGTTCTAGAGCAATGGTTTTTAAAGCATGGCTCCCGTGATCTACAGTATCAGGGTCACATGGAAGACTATTACAAAGGAGAATTCTCAGCCCTCCCCCCAGCCTATCCATATCCTGTACCAGACAGGACCTGGCTGACTCCGTAACAGCCCTGTAGATGCTTCTGAGGCAGGCTCACTGGTGAGAACTAGTTCTCTAGAGACACAGGATGAATAAGGCACTATACTGGCCACTAAGCATTTCTCTTTGGTCTCAGGGATTTCCCAGTTGTCTCAAATTTGCATTTTAATTACCTAGCACAGTTCCAAAATCTATAACTTTAGTTACAATGACAACATCATTACTACTTAGTCTAACAGCTTTTCATGTCTTCTTGGCAGCCATTAAATGAAGTGTTTATGAGAAAGTAGGGGTCAGTGAATAGCCCTTTTAACAAAAGTCTTATGAACCTCATGGGTTGAGCTGAGTTGTCAGATTGTTTTGTAACACACACACATACATATGGAGAGAGAAAATTTAAAATATAAAATCTTAAATGGCAAATATTTCCAACAAAGAATTTTAAAGTGGTCTTTGTATTGTATTTTTATTCTCTTACTAATATTATACTTGCTATTTCCCATCTTTAATAACTTTTTATAGCTTTTTGGTTTAGTTTTATGACATGGTAATTGACATAGTAAACTGTACATATTTAAATCATTTAATTCGATAATATTTTGACACATTTATACCAGTATTATAAAATAGTTGTGGGGGCATCCAGTTCTATTACATGCTGCAAAAGGCAGCGTGAATTTGCAGAGAAGGATTCCTGAAGGTAACTTGAGCTAAGACTTGTAAGGCAACTAGATGTCAGGCCATGTAAATAAAATGGGGGAAGGTTGTACAGGACCGATAAAGACCATCTCATCTGTCTGAAGTCTAGATTCTTGCAGTTCCTGTATTTATCATCATGGAGGGTTTATAAAAAGCTGCTGGATCCCTTTATTTCTTACAATTCCAACTGAGAAATGAGCATAACCCCCAGTGAAATATGCAGCGCTCTTGCAGAGAGTAGCAATCCCCGTTACTATCTCCTCAGGTAGTTCCTTGCATCAGGGTAACCTGTCCGGTTTTGACCACTGGCCCACTCTTGAGTGTGTATTTCTCTCCTGTGTGTCTTATGAAGAACAGCTTGCATAAAAGTGTTGGTTTTTTTATAGCAATGGAATCTAATTCCTTGCCTTTAACTTCCTTGTCACTTTCTTCTTTCTCCCAGCAAATCAGTATGTCCCTAAATGTTCATTTATCATTATCCCCACATGCTAATACTAAGACTCTGTTTTGGGGACTTAACTTCTTGTGCTTTCTCCCATTGCAGGCTGGCTCCATGAACTGGGCAAGAGACTGGAATCGCCATACTATGGCAACAATACCTTGGGAGGCCCGTCCATCCGAAGTGCCTATATTGCCGCTCTGTACTTCACCCTCAGCAGCCTCACCAGCGTTGGGTTTGGGAATGTGTCTGCTAATACAGATGCAGAAAAGATCTTCTCCATCTGCACCATGCTGATTGGTGGTAAGGGAAATTCTTCCTTTATGCCAGAGAAGTAACAAGTGTCTGCCATACTATTGCTGTTCTGCCTAAAACACAATGGGAATATAATATACTTACAAGATTTATTAATTGCTTTTATGTTCCCTTCTCTGGGCTAAGTGCAATACCCTAAATAACCCTTTGGCAAATCTATACACTTGACACTATTATTATCCCACTCACCGAACAGACAAGTCATTATAATATTGTCTATGAGCCCCAGACCCACAGTCTGTATTAGGGTTTGTAATGCTGTGCTTTGTACTCTGCAAACCTCATTCATTCTTTTTGCCATACAACTTCAGTCACTTCTGCCAATAGGGGGGTGCCTGCTTCTGATGTGTATAATGTACCTCCTGAGGCAGGCATCTCCAGCCTTCGCCATCTGCAGGCACCCTGACAACCAGCCTCACTGGCCTGCTTAGTGATCCCTGCATCAGTTGGGAGACCCCCACCCCACATTCAAAGGCAGAGCCCTGGCTTCCTGTGGCTCCTCACAGCCCCTCCTTGGGCTTCCATGTTCCGGTAACCCTACTTCCCTTTGTTCATTCCTCTCCTGGCTCCTCCCTGCAGTTACCATATCCAGGTTACCTCTCTACTCCCTTTTTGCTTATTCAGCCCTCCAACACCAGGGAATCCAATTCTCTATAAAAGCTCCCTCTTGGAGTACTTATTTTCTCTTTTCTGAACCTTCTAACTTGTATAGGATTGGTATAATTACTATCCATATTTTTCAGTTGACAAATCTAGAGCCTGTAAAAATTAAGTAACTCTTCCAATGCCATACATCCAGTAAGTGAAAGAGACAAGGTTTGAACCCAGATGAGTACTTACTTTTATCTGTAAATACATAAACAGAAACTTCCTGAATAAGACTACTCTCACACAGTAGTAGGAAATGTGGATGCCTACCTGTATTATTTTTCTTAGACCAGAGTTCTCAAACCAGGATACTAGTATTATTTTCTGTCCCACAGTGTTCCCAAAAAACCTGTTTTATCATGTTCTTTTAATGGCTTTAATCGCAGCTATCACTGAGCGCTCTGAAACTTATCATAGGGGATGGGTTCCTACCAGCTCCCTTGCATGGGAGATGTGAAATAAATATGTGGGTGTTAAGCAATGAGCCATCCAGAGCCTATGGTGAAATCAAAGAGGTATAAGCCCAATTTCAAATCAAACTCATGGTCCAGTTTGGAAGAGAGAGGCTGACCTGTGTGGAAAAAGCATAAGCAATACCGAGCAGTAAGTGCTCCGTCCACATCAGTCAGGAAGTTCGGAAGCAGTGAGAATTGGGGCCCTGGACGGAGACCTCTTGGAAAGGCAGCCCTTGGTGTAGAGACACGGCAGCAGCGGACTGTCACTGCAGATGCAGAACAGGCTCTTGGCTGATGTTGAGCAGGAACAGCGTGGGGAGCTGTGAACAGGAATTCTCATTTTCTAAAGAGCTGCTATGTGCCAAACCTCATAGTGGCTATTTTACACCCGGTATTATAATTTGTATAACTGCTGGTCTTCTTGATGGCCCATCTTTCAGCTTAACAAAATGACAAGCACTTTACAAATAAACACAGACTTACTTAATATTTCTCCAAGTTCCTCTACTACTAATGGAAATTTTGGGAAATGCTCAGGTGCTCAAGGCTTAACCTACTGATTTGACATTTGAAGAATTGGTTAGATAATTGAGCTTATTCTCTATTGATCCACATAAATTATTTCCTGCTGTTCACTGTAAGTGGAAGTTATGCTGGTCAAAGGGCCAAAAGATATGGATAATAATCAGATAATGTCACTTTGTCACTTGTTAAATGTTTCTTGAGCAAATTATCCAGAAGGAGTGGTCATTTGTCAGTGGCATTAAAGTGTACGGGCAATTTCAGCAGCAGGTGAGAAACCATTGCTTTTGAATGGGAAATGGCATCTGAGCAACTTGGATTTATTAGTTACAGTGTGTGTGGGAAATAACTGTATTATTGTGACAATTACCTTAGGCTGAAGAAATGATGCCTGCATTTTAATATGCCCAAATTAACCAATTACTTGCATAACTTTCAGAACCAATCATAAGAGCTCACAATATTGAACACTTTGTTCATTTAATTCCCATAACCCTAAGAGATAGAAGTAATTAACACCCCAAGTTAGATGTAAGGCAACAGAGGTTTAGGAAGTTCAAATGGCAGGATTCACTAAGACCTAGCAAACTTCCTGTAGAATATATATTTTATTATATGCTGCAAATTCATTTTATTGACTTAATTTCTATAAATATACACAAATAATTTTCTTTTAATTTTAGGTATATATTACCATGGGAATCAAGTCTAAGTTATCATATTAGGAATCCCCACAGAGTGATTATGAAATTGCTAATGACAGGATGTAATATTTACTACAAAGGCAGGCAGTAGCAATATTAAATGTTGCAGGTGACTACCAAAACCCCCAGAAATTATCTAGGGCAAAGGCATTCACAGGCTGAGTGAGGAGGAGGGGGAAGGAAGGGAAGCTCCCTATGAGCATCTACAATTATAGACTATGCAAACCATTGGTTTATGGGAAGAATAGTTAAAACTACCAAAAAGATTAAGCAAAAATAATGAGAAACAACTTGTACCAAGACAAATCTGTGTAAACTTTGAGAACATACAAAACAGAAAAGTAACCCTAAAAACCCTAAAAACTATTAGAATTACTAAGTGAATTTAGTAAAGCTGATGTATACAAGTTCAATATGCAAAAATCAATAGTATTTCTATATACTAGTAACAAACAATTAGAAATGAAATATAAGAAATGATTATAAAAACATCAAATATCTAGGAATAATCTTTTAAAATGTGCAATTCAACTACATAGAAAACTACAAAACATCAGAGAGAAAATTTACAAATAGTTTAAAATAATGGAAGGATATACATCAGTGATGATTTTAAGGCTCAGTATTGTAAAGATAACAGTTTGACCCAAGTTAATCTGAAGATTCAATGCAATCACAATAAAAATACCAATATATGTGTGTTTATGTGTGTGTGTATATGTGCGTGTGTTTGAAACATGATAAGCTGTTTCTGAAGAATAGTGGAAATGCAGAGCTAAAACTATTCAAAGCAGCCATAAAGAAGAACAAACCTGGAAGATTTGTGCTACAAGTATCAAGATGTATTACAACACTGTAGCAGTTGAGAAAGTGTGGTGTTGGCTCCAGAATAAACAAATTGGCCAGTGGGATAGAAGTGACTGCAGAAACAGGCCCACACACATATGATCTCTTCATTTATGACACAAGTAATAAAACTGCTGTGCAAAGGGGAAATGAGGACGATTTCAATAAATGTTGCTGGGCTGAAGGTATATCCACATGCTGAAAAACAACCTTTATCCCTCTTAAAGTTATGCATTAAGGTTAATTCCAGATGGATTTTGGTCCAAATGTGAAAGGGAACATAATAAAACTTCTTAAAGATAGTATAATATTTTCACTATCTTGAATTTGGCAATGGTTTCTTAAACATGACACAAAAGCCCTAACCATAAGGAACTACAGAACTAATATTTATCCAAAGACATTGTTAAAAATGAGAAGAGGGAAGCCATAGGAGAAAGTATTTGCAAACATTTATCTGACATAAGACTCTTCTCTTTTATATATAAAGAGCTTTTACAAATCTGTATAAAAACATTAAAAAGCACTTCAAAAATAGATTTCCATGCCCAAATGGACAACACACATATGAAAAGGTGCTCAACATCATTCATCAAGGACATGGAAATTAAGATCAAAATTAAATAGCATTTATATTCACCAGAGCAATATACTTAAAAACACTGATAAACCCAAATGTTTGAGGGGATATGGAACATCTTAACTTCTCCAATACAATTGATGGAATTGTCAGTTGGCATGAAAGTTTTGTCAACATCTACCATGTCTAAACATACCTGTACTCTGTGACTCTCAACAATTCCACTTCTGACTACCTATCCAGTGGAAATGCAAATATTTATATACTTTTTTACATCAAATGATATGTACATAGATGCCATAGAAGCATTATTGTAAGAATCTGAAACTGAAAGTGCCTATGAAAAGGAGAATAAGTAAGTAAATTGTAAAATGATTATTCAATAGAGTACTACACTGTAATGAGAATGAATGAATTTTTATGCCACACAATCACATTGATGAATCTTGTAAACAGTGCTGAGCAAAGAAGCCAGACCCCAAAAAGTACATGTTGTATCATTTTGTTTAGAGAAATTTCGGAAGTAGGTGAAGCTTATAAATTACAATATAATTTAAAACTGTGGTTCCCTTTGGTCAGGGAGCTGGTGAGAGCCTATGAAGGGGACACAATGGAGGCCTTGGGTACTGGAAATATCCTGTTTATTCATCTGGGGGAGACTCACTTTGAGAAATCTCAATGAACTATACATTTAATATTTGTGTAATTTTCTCAATGTGTGTCTTTGATATTAATTTTGCTTTGTAAAATTATAAAAGTAAGCTAAATAAGTTGGTGCAGTCACTGTGGAAAGCAGTAAGGGGGTTCCTCAAAAAACTAAAAACAGAAATACCCTATAACCCAGAAATTCACTACTATGAATTTATCCAAAGAAAACAAAATCCCTGATTTGAGAAGATATATACATCCCTGTTTTTATTAATAGTCACATTGTTTACAGTAACCAAGATATGGAAGCAACCAAAGTGTCCATCAGTAGATGAATGGATAAAAAAAAAGTGGCACATCTACACAATGGAATATTATTCAGCTATAAAAAAGAAAGAAAGCCTGCCATTTGGAACAACATAGCTGGACCTAGAGGGTATTATGCTCAGTGAAAAAAGCCAGGTGGAAAAAAGACAAATACCATATGATTTCATTTATTTGTAGAATATGAAAGCAAAACAAAACAAAATAAACAAAACAGCAGCAGACTCTTAGACAGGGAGAAGTGACTGGTGGTTCCCATGGGGGAGGGGCTGGGGTGGGTGTACGGGGAGGGGGATAAAAGGGCACAAAATTCTCAATTATAATATAAGCTAGTCTAGTGAAGAAGACTCATTGCTGAGGACATGTACAGTTTAAGTGAGGCATGTGGCCACGAAAAAGATGGAGTGAAACTCCTAGCAGTCAAAGCTCTCCTTGGATCCTCATACCTTACATTACACAATTTTACTGAACCCACGTGGGCTATGGTGTTCACAAATTCAGGCGGTTTTTAAGATGTCTTAACACTGCCATTTAAATCCATCATTTAGGAAACCACTCTCAGTTTTCTCTGCTGTCTGCCATCCACAACCCAGAGTACTTGTGGCAAAGAGTGGAAAATTCCAGGGCAATGAGTAGGTGGGAGAGAGAAGGAGGACGGCTGAGGTCACCCAAAGCCTGAGCTGCGGTCGCCTTTTCTATCGAGAAGACTGTCCCTCTGTAGACGCTGAAGCCACTGCAGAGGCATTGGTTACTGAAATCAGCAGCAACTCTGTACCTCAGTATGGCCCCAGATCCAGAGATAGACGTGGTGGAGGAGGAGAGAGAGAGGGAAGGAGGAGAAGGGAAGAAGAGGAAGGGAAGAAAAGGGGTAAGAGAGAGACAGAGAGAAAGAAAACAGAGAGAGAGAGAAAGAACTAGAAAGGGCAAGCCAGGCAGCCCTTAAGAGTGCACTGTCAACTGAGGTCAGGTCACCTTCTTCCTAGAGCCCAGTTGCTGAGGTTCCTCCAAAGACCTGATATTAAGATGAGATTGTACAAAATGTATTTTATGTAAAACTCCTACACAAAGAAGACGAGCCTCCCACATACTCAGCAGCAGACCTAGCGTGCTACTTTCAGAATTATATACATCAGATATGCTAGGAGGAAAAGGAAAAGCAAATGATAATTTTCCAGCTGACCTGGATATAGAAGTTCTTGAGTCAAACTTTCACAGCAGATGGAATGATTTGGCCTGACAGTTGCATACACTCTTCGCCAGTGTGAAAGTGATAACCAGTGACAGAGAGGCAATAATAGCTTTGGAAACTGGGAAATTATGAGAGCTAGGGTTTTTTTTTTTACTACTTTAATTAGAAGTATTTTCCTATGCTGAAATGAGACTTTGAAATTACAGCGACTTAGATAGACTGGTACTTTCCAACAACACTCATGAATGCTACAATTAATCCAGTAATTCCTTTTCTTGATAATGTACAATCAGGATGCTAAGTGATCTGAACATATTACCTCTCTTAAGTGCTTTACACACATTATAATTAAGCAAAGCAAAGTTAAAATCATACACACAATTAAGGAAAGCAGTGTTAAAATAAATGAAATAAAATGTTCTCGGTGCTCAGTTTAATCTCCATGAAAGACTATTACATACTTTTACAGATGGTAGGCCTTCCAAACCCTGAGCCCATAAGGATATTAACGGAGCCTGAAATCGGTGTGAAATTTCTTTAACTTGGAACAGAATCCGTTCTTTTCTGCTTAGTGTTTATTATAAATAGAGGTATCTTCTTCCAAATAAAATATGTATCATAACTGCTGTGCTTCTAAAACCATAAAAAACAGTAAACCTCTATTTAGAATTTACCAAGAGCCATTCAACAGTAAGTTGAGAAGCAATATACATTTTTGATGGGCTATCTTGGACTTGTTGGAAAATTTCGATAGAGTATATATGTACATACACTTTACAGGTTACAGGCACTTATTGACTATTTCTTGAATTTCTTTCATCATGAAATTCTGTCTGGCAAGAACCACTCAATTATTTAACAGGTTGCTGAAAAACCTTAAATCTGAGTCCTTTTCCCCAAATTTTTCTCCACTGAACATGTGGAAAATTCACAATAACACTTTCATTTTCATGGGAAAAATTAACATAAATTGAGCACCCACTATTTTTTCACATAAATATTAGGCATTTACATACATAAATATATAAATAAGTATATATACTCTTTGAATTGCAAAATAGCTCTATGAGTAAGGTTTTGCATATAAAGGAACTGAGTCCATGTACGGGAATCATGTATCTTGCCAAGTTCACAATTAGGAGTGTCAGTGTCAGGATTCAAATCTGCACGTGTCTGATGCTGAAGTCTGTATTCTCTCTGCAACATTTTATTGCCTCCTGTATGCAGACCTTAAGTTTAACCCTATTCTAATAACCTTTCCAAAATATTGAGGTCTCCCTTGTTATTATGGGGTGATTTTTATAGGTATGGTAGCATATTTTCCATAGAGAAATGATGATATATAACCTGAAAGAATTTTAATTTTGGTGTTAGATTAGATTGAAATTAATACATCAGTGGTTACTCATTTCTGGCAAATGTAGGGAAACAAAATAATTTTAATGGGGCTATCCTGAAATAGAATGGCTATTCAGGAAGATAGTACAATAATACGATGACATATTTGCACTAGTGTATCCATTTTGATGCTAATAAATTTTAGCAGGGCTCCTTGGACATCGAGATTTGGGTACAGGGACATTCTGATAGATCCTAATAGACAAACCAGTAAATTTTTAGTTGTCTTTTTCTTACAAAACTGCTAAAACAGATGATTCCATCCATCCTCTGAGCTTTTTACCTCATTGCCAATCCCATTCCAGAGTGGGGGTCAGGGCTGACATCTGCAGATCACTAAGAACTGGCCTACCCGTAAGTGTAAGCACACCTGGCTGTCAGCTCTCTCCCAGTTTCACAGTCCCAGCTGGTTCAAGACCCTCTTGGGCTATCTGCTAGCATCTGCATAGGCCAGTCCAGTTCTTTGGCTAATGATTATTTATTTAATGCAAATGCTGTTATGACTTTTCTGGCTTCGAGACAGCTGACCACTCTCCATGGTGGGCAGCTCCTGGGAAGTAAAGTCTATTGCTCTACTTTTTCCCAATAGAAAACCCATTTCCAGCCTCCATCCACCCTGGAATTCTCATGAACAAAGTCTTCTATCTCATTACACTCTGGTGGTGGTTTCAGAAAGGGGAGCCTCTGCAAGAAAGTCAGACTAAATACTGTCTCACCAAGAAGCCTTATCAAAGCACGAGTCACATGTACATGTACCCCTGGCCCTTCTCAGAATGGCAACAATGATTCTAAGCAGAATACTAATTTTTCTCTGTAAATTGCTTTGTTTCTTGAATGCTCTCAGCTTTTCTGATTTCTCCTTTAAATTGAAGTAACTATGGAACTGCAGAGGGGAGAGGATTGGGGCCATATGAGTTGCAGCTTCAGATGGCTCTGAAAATCCTTCATTCTAACAACTTTTCTCAATACCTCTATTAATATAAATGGGTCCTATTTAATATCCTAAAACTAATTTTAAGTGATGGCTTTGGGGAAGAGACTTACATTCCCATAAAAATTACCCAGTTATAATAGACCTGTTTTTTAAATGTATTTGTTATTATAGTAGAAATAACCACTAAACTATAGTTTACTTTATGAAATTATTAAGATGATTTTATCACAGCTATTAAACTATACTTAACTATTAAAACAATACAGATGTGAATAGAGTACAAAAAAAAAAGTTGGTCATAGCCAGAATGGCAGTTAACAGATGGAAGTATGGGTCATAGGGGCCTTATTCTGCATGTTACTGAGTATTTTTTAAAGATATTTTTACTCTTATCAAGCCATTTACAATCACAATGGCCACATCAGGGTGCATTGAGTGACAAATGGATGCACTCAAGTAGCCGCATCAGTGTGGCCATGTAAGCATGCTTGGGTCTGATTCAGGATGTATAGGCTGTAAATTTGGGCTGGGCAAGCCCACCATCATATTTCTGTCCCATTATGTATTGCGTTGTTTTCTCTAGCCCTGATGCATGCCTTGGTGTTTGGAAATGTGACAGCAATCATACAGAGGATGTACTCCAGATGGTCCCTCTATCACACTAGAACTAAGGACCTAAAGGATTTCATACGTGTCCATCACCTGCCCCAGCAACTCAAGCAGAGGATGCTCGAATATTTCCAAACAACCTGGTCAGTCAACAATGGAATAGATTCAAATGAGGTAATGTTCATTTCTCATGTTGACATTTTCAGGCAAAAAGCACATACTCTAAGGTAAAAGCAAGGGATCCTGATGCAGGTCTCAGAAGTGAGGTACATACACACCTCTCTTTTTTTAATCCCTCATAAAACCTAATCCACTTTCTTTCACCTGCTTTGGCTTATTTGTTCACAAAGCCACTTTGAATTGGCCAGGCCAATGTTTCACATTAAGTTGCTACTCTGGCCAGTCAGGGGGGCTAACTTTAATTCTCACTGATCTTCTTTGAAGGAACCAGTTCTTAGGACAGTTGAATGGTATAATCTTAGGATATTAGATTATCAAGTTAATCTTTGCCTTTAAAACCAACAAAATGAAAATGTTTTCCAGCAAAGGTGTTATCTGTGGACTTCCAGGAACATCCCAGACCACCACTGTAAAAAAAAAAAGGTGTCACAGAAGTGTCATGGAAGCACTGCAGAGCCAAAATTCCCTACCTTCTGTCCTGAGTAGGAGTCTATGAGAAGCAAGTCACAATGAGCTGTACGTTTTCACTGGAGAGTCTTTTATTAGTTTATTTTATTTCTCCAGAGTTATCACCAGCTGATTATTCAATAGCACATAACTAGAGTCACATTCACTGAAAAATCACCCCAGATGTTACATGCATAGATTCCCTCTTCTCTTCACTGGCCAAAGAGAGGGAAGAACAATCCTGTTGTCTTGCAAGTAAAGTTGTCCTGATCCCAACTTGATTGCTTCTTTCATCTCCTTCGACAGCTTTTGAAAGACTTTCCAGATGAGCTGCGCTCTGACATCACGATGCACTTGAACAAGGAGATCTTACAGTTGTCGCTGTTTGAGTGTGCCAGCCGGGGCTGCCTCAGGTCTCTGTCTCTGCACATCAAAACCTCTTTCTGTGCTCCAGGGGAGTATCTGCTGCGACACGGGGATGCTTTGCAAGCCATCTACTTTGTATGCTCGGGCTCCATGGAAGTTCTTAAAGACAGCACAGTGCTGGCTATTCTTGGTAGGTCTGAATTGAGAGCCTCACAAAATTTTACCCTGGAGCAAAAGTTAAGGTGATGAAATAAGATGAAATAGGAAAAAAGAACTGCTATTGAAAGTAGGAAAACTATGAATGACTATGTGGAATCAGGATTATTCTTCAAATGGGTTTAATTTGCCACCTTAAAAAAATCTTTATTAAGGTCATGCCACATACTAAACTTAGATTGTGCTAAGGGTTATATCCAAACTGTCATTTAAAAAACCAGCAGTATATATGTTTTCCCCACTTTTCAAATGAATAATTAGTAGTTAACTTAATCTGCCTCAAATAGCATAGAAAGAAAATGAACAAAATTCAGATTCCTAAAGCCAGATTATTAATTATGATGTATACTGCCTTTGGTGAAATAGCTGGTCAGTTTTAAGAGGATGTTTCTTGTGGATAATCAAGTCAGAGAAGAACATGAAAATTGCTTTTATCTATACTAGAAATAGCTCAAAAATTATTATGCATTAAAAATAAGCTCTCATAGCAATCATGAAACCCAACACTGTCAAGGTGACTACATGTATTTTTACTTCCTCAAAGAAAACTCAAAAGACAGTTTGTGAAGACTTTGTATCACAAGTTTACTCCAACTATTAAGACATAATCGGTGTTCATTGAGATATAAAGGTCATCTGATAAAGACATGTACAGTTAATGTAGAAAAACTCCTACCCACAATTTTATGTGTACCTTTTCAAAAAATCACTTCCATTTGTTTGTCTGTTTGTTTACTCAGCTCATATTTATTGAGGGCCTATGCATGAATCTGGTGCTAGTCTAAACAATATATTTTAACAGCAATGTAATACACCAATGTTAAGAATCTGGGTTAATAAACAAAGGCTAGTGAAACACTTTTCATTTATTTTTAATATTCATATTTAAGAACAAGTATTTTTAAACAGTGTAACCATTTATAAAGTATTTTCACCTGTGTGATTTTTCGTTAAGCCTTCCTAACACAAGAGAAAGATGGGAGAGGTATTTTCTGTTTTACCAAAGTCAAAGCTAACCTAGGTCTTTGACACGATCTCCAGCATTCATTCCACCTCTAAATAATGCCTATTATTCTATGTACTCATTTTAAGCCTGCTATCATGAATTCTAGCTAGTAAGCCTCAAAGCAGATTATATTTTAGAAGGGAGAAGAGAACATTTAGTGGATCCCTAATAAGAGCCAGGTGTTTTATGTCCATTACCCAATTTAAATCTTATATTCCTATTAGTTTGGTGTGATTAACCCCCATTAAAGGTAAAGAGATGGAGGTTGGTGAATCCCAAAATATTCCGGTGCTATCCATGGCTTCATGTTGCCTTCAGTTCACCACTTATCAGAGAAAAGGTAGGGCTTGCCCTTCAAAGTTTTGGCTCAGTTCTCACACTTTTAAAAGTTTTTCTCCTTAATAGAAAATCATGGAATAACAACTAAAAGAGTTCATCACCAGCTTGACCAGCTCAGTATCAGTGTTACAGAGAGGCCATCTGTATGTGTTTTAAGAGGAGAACTTAACCTCTTCCTGCTCACTTCTCAACTTCTTGAAGTTTAAGGCCAGTCATTCCATTATTACATGATTCTAAATTAAATTGACAGTTATTTTTAAATTTGCCTCAGAAACCTAACTTGAATGATAAAATACTTTCCCATGGATTTTCTTAGTATCATGTAAGTTTATGGCATGCTTATTGCCTTATTGACACAGACTATTTTTAAAAGGCATATAGTTATTTTCTTGAATGTATGGTTTGATATACATGTAAGCAAAAATAATGCACCACTTTTAATCACATATAATATGGGGTTTTTTTCCCATTTTTGTGATGCATTTTTAAATCTTCTGACTAACAACAACTCCAGGGAATGGAATACAAAGTCATCATCCATACCTTAGAGCACAACAGGTGCACTTCTGATGACTTCTCTGTAAATACCATCATTTGTAATGATTCAACTGGATTTTCTTATTTTAAAAAATTCCACTTACAGCTGAAATACTTAATCCTTTGCCACATGTTCCTAGCTCCAGGCTTTCTCCATAAATGTGATTCCCATGATTAACATTTCCACAATTTTGCTTCCACTGTGTCTGCATCAAAAGTGAGTTAAGTGCAAATTGCATATGACCATTCTAAATATTCATATGTGGTATTGAGACTAACTCAAAACAAAGATAATAAATTGTTAATATTTTATTTCTGTGATTAACATTATTTCAATGGAGACTGAGTACTTTCCCTATGGATGTCTTAGAGGGCCAATTCAAATCAATACTGACTTTAGAAAACTTAAGCACGTGGCTCACATTTGATCTGTAGATATTTAATACATGTTTACTCTGCTAACAAAATGAATTAATGTATAATGTCGTAGGGAATAAGTACCTCAAGCAACTCTTTGATCAATACACGAAGGCATTTCTGAAGGCTGGGGAGGCAGCTGACATAGAGGCAGGGATTTGTCATGGGGATAAAATTTGTGTGTCTTGTACACCTTCATTTCATGTCCCAGTAATTGTGTTTTTCCACCAATTTATTCACTGCTGTTTAAGACAACAAAGGACCAATTAACATGCTCTTCACAGATGTCATTATTTGCCTAATTATAATTAAACTCAAGTTATTGCTCTAACCCAGATAGTTTGCAGATGTATCCCATCAACTATTTTTTTTTTTGCCCAGTGGAAGAATGACTGATTAGCAAATACTAATAATGGAAATCTGAGAAATGAAGACTATAAAGGGCTGTAGATATCTCTCTCTCTTTAAAAATAAGGCTACAGAAACCCAGGGTAATTAAAAAACTTAGCTCAAGGTGCTGTGTCTAGATAGTGAGAATTCCGCATGACCACAAAATCAGTGAGAACTGTGTTCAGCACAAGGTCCAGCACACATGTCAGTGCTCCATAGTCACTGAGTGAGTAATTCACTGGAATTTTTTCTAGGATGCCAGGTTTGGTGAGATATCAGTGTTGTTTGTCTAGCTGGGGTCACTGTGGCTGAAACAGCCATACTATGGTCACCCAATATGATGACCTTAGAGTTATCCCAAACATCCATTGCTTAACAGAAAATATGAATGCTCATTTTACCAAAACATTGCAAATGACAAATTTTCCTCAAATATATGAATTTGAAAATTTGCTATGTTCAAAGTATCCGGCTATATTTACATCTTGCACCAGTATCGAACTTTGAGATCTTGAGAACAAATTTAGATTTCTAAGAAGAAATTTAACAAGCAAGAAACAACATTTCCAAGATTCACAGTATTGGTGACAACAGTAAATCTAACGCACTCTTCAGCACCATGTGGCTATTTATTCCTTTAGTATCTCTAAGTATAGATTTTAGTCTTCTTTTTCCTTCTGCCAAATAGGCTTCATTTCAAGGTATAAATCCAATATTAATTCAAAGATAATACCTAGATATAATTCAGTAATTTAAAATGCTCATTTTTTGACCTGCCATAAATAGTTAGGAATATCTCAGGTATTCATGCTTAATTTCCTGTGTTTCCTTTCACTGTAAAATTCAATAAGACAGATTGTTATTGAGGTCTGATACATACCAGAGATGTTGCTTTCAGAAATGCCAGGCACCATAAAGAATAAAAATATAGAACTTAAAAAATTCATTGAATGGGAGACAGAGGCAATTTGTTCTTTAATATTCCAAAGATGATATTTGCTTGCTGTTTTTCATTATTGCTGATCAATTATTGGTTGTCTGTTCCCTATGAAATGGATTAAAGAGGCCATTCAAAAAAACAATAAGAGCCCAGGTATGATGCCATTTGAGGACAAAGATTCGGAGACTCCTAAGTTGTAGCCATAAATCTAATGCCAGTGTCCTCTGTGAACTTGGTCATGTTATTTAAGTTTTCGACCTAAGTTTGTCTGAGAATTGAATGCATTTTCTTTCATGTTTCTCACATGGATGCTGAGTGAATTAATGGCTGTATCTAAAATAAATCTGAAGCTGTAATCAGCTTTTTGTTAGCACTTCCATTTATGCTCACTTTCCTGCTAAGTTAAACTGATTCAAGTTGGTTTAAAGATCTTAAAGATTCAAATAAATAGTGCACTATTAACAAATCAACAAACCCAAAGAAACAAAGTAGTTCCCAGGACAGTGACTCCAGCCTAAGATTAATAGGCTGAGATATTGCAGGAAAAATACCAGGGGGTGCTGGGTGTGGACAGAGGTACAGATGCCAGAGAGAGTAGTGGTACTGCTCTCTCTCTGTTGTGGCAGAAGTGAAAAGCTTATAGTTTTCATTAATACATTTTCTTCTTTGATTGAGAAAAAAGGGTTTTTACCCTGTCACAGAGCATTACAACTATGACTTGAATTTTATACTTTTATGTTTATTTTACTGTCCATAATGTCTGATAGTTATCTCTCTCTCCCACACATTATTGTCCAAAGTGCTAACAGTTAAATTATTAATACACATCTTGATGGTCTCATACAGAGAAATTTTTACACTCAGAAAAATCTGAGCCATTATTATTTCTCTTAAACAGTCAAGGCAATTGTGACAGAAATGCCACCAGTTTGTCTAAAGTCACTTACCAAGTCCTGGGCAGGACGGGTCTAGAGCCCACCAATGACTACACTTCCTGACTCAGGGTATCCTAGTCTTCATTCCAAGACCAGTATTCTCAGCCAGGAACAGTTTTGCCTATTAAGGGATGTTTGGCAATGTCTGAAGATACTGTAGTTGTCACCCCTGAAAGGGTGGGGAATGCAAGATTCTGCTAAACATTCTAATGTGCACACAACAGCCCCCTCCAACAACAAACCATCAGGCCCCAAATCTCAACACTGCTGAGGAATACTTTCCTTTTCTCTTTTCACAGTAATCTCAGAGAAGTGAAGCTGTAAGGCAAATGAAGTTTCCAATCCTGAGCTTGCTCTGCAAAGTGACATGTCTCTTTTTTCACTGTTTCAAGGGAAAGGGGATTTAATTGGAGCAAATCTATCAATTAAGGACCAAGTGATCAAGACCAACGCAGATGTGAAGGCTTTAACCTACTGTGATCTGCAGTGCATCATCCTCAAAGGACTCTTTGAAGTGCTGGACCTTTACCCGGAATATGCTCACAAATTCGTGGAAGACATTCAGCATGACCTCACATACAACCTTCGAGAAGGTCATGAGAGTGATGTAAGTCTCAATTCTAATTAGTGCTGAGACCTAATAACACAGGGCCTGGAGATCATTTTATAACAAGAGTTAAGAGCACATGTCATGACTTCACTTTACAAAGCCTCTGAATATGTTAAGTATGACTATTCAGCTACTAGTTGAGAAATTAAATAATCAGCTAAAAGTCAAACCTGGTGTTTGTTATCAACTTTCCAGGGAAGTATTATTTATGGATGACTCTTTTAACTCGGTTTCTTTCTTGTATATTTTCATGTGCTTATAACTAGGCCCAATTTTGATGATATATCCTATTTAGAATAAATCTGTGGTTTCTCCAGAATTTAAAGATTTCCAGATAGAGTATATGGTTCTGATTTTTTCTGTGTTTGTGATTGTTCACTACTCTACTTGCTTGTTATGGATTTTCTTAAGAAGAATCTTTTGGTTAGCCAGTGTACAAAACAGACTATCTTAAAATGACTAAATATGCATAGAAGGATCCAAGCCAATGATTGTCACATTGAAAGCATAATGAACATTTTATGAAATTATGTATTTGCTGTGTGTTTCAGTTTATACAAACAGCTTTCCTGTCAAAATATGTACTAGACTGCATCCTGTGATTAAGCTGATCATGAACATGACTTCATCAGATGTATCAGAGACACAAATGATTTAATAGGCATGATTGTTGAAAGGCATGCCAGAGCGTGCACAGCATTCTGTAACAACAAAAGCCTTGATCTGGCTTGAGCTTTGTCCCAGATATTTGCAACACTCAGTTTTTTCCCTAAGAGTTTAAGAAGCCCTTGTCTAACCTATATTGTGCAGACATTTTGTTAGTCATTCCACTCTGCCTTTTAAAGGTAGAAAAAGAATCCAAGTTGTGTATTTACTTGATCTTGGCTGAGGATATCAAATGACAGTGGATGCTTAGATGGTATCCACTCCCCTGATGATACCAAACAGCAAGCCACGTATCAATATTTACTGGGAACCTATTTGTGCGAATCACTTTTCTTATTAAAGCATCTCATTTAGTGCTTAAAATGACTCTTTAAGGTAAGTGTCCATCACTTTTTATGGAACAGAACACAGATCCAGAAAGGCTAAGTAACTTGTATGTGATCACAAGCTTGCAGGTGGCAGAGACAAAGTATGAGCACAGGGATCTGTCATTTTAAAATCTATACCCTTCTTAGGAGGTATGTTTTCCTGAAGACATGTTTTGTATCTTCACATTCAATAGATGGGCTTTTAAAACCACAGGTGTCTTTCATGCTTTCTAGGACGGCCCACTGGGACAAATATTTTTGAAGAATGAATATAAGTTAGAGATAGAAACAACCAAAAAGGAAGCTAGAAAGGAGGGAAGGAGGGAAGAGAGAAGTAGCCAACACTCCTCACCATGGAAAGGTGGAAAATATTGCATCTCAGCCCTACTTTGTTTTAATTTGATTCCTTTGTAAGGGTCCTTATCTTTGTTTTTTGGTTTTTGTTTTTTTTGGTATCATTAACATACACTTAGATGAACAACATTGTGGTTACTAGATTTTCCCCATTATCAAGTCCCCCCACATACCCCATTACAATCACTGTCCATCAGCACGGTAAGATGCTATAGAGTCACTACGTGTCTTCTCTGTGCTCTACTGCCTTCCCCGTGCACCCCCCCCACACACACACATTATATGTGCTGATTGTAATGCAAAGGATCCTTATCTTTGATCTAATGTTTTATCATCTTTTTTCTATTTGCTGGAACACTAATCATAATGATTTTAAAACTCGAATATGGGAATTACCTGTGGGACTATTTTCATTACCTGTTATTTCTCTTAGTTTGGTTGGTTGAGATTTGGGGTCATGTAGTCCCTTCTTTTTGGCAGATGCTATAAGTTGCCATACTTTGTTTAAATGTAGATGTTCATGAAACAATTGTTCATATTATTTTCCTTCAAAGAGGTTAAGGTTTTCTTTTGTCCAACAGGTTAAGTTCCAGCAAATCACTTTCACCCTGTCCATAGTTTCTCTTTAAGTTTTGCTAGGCTTATCTAGCTCCATTTTGCTCTTCCTCCAGGCCCTCGCTCTGAAGACAGGGTTTTTCCAGCATCTCGGCTAAAGCCGTGAAGTTTACCAAGGCCTCTCTCCTTGGCAGAGCTTGAATGCCAGCCTCCACCTCCTCAGCACCGCGTGGCTGCTCAAGTCTCTGCTTTGCCATTTAGCCTTCCAGCTGCCATGTCCCTCTGAGTGTCATGGCGCAGTGCCCCGTGCACGCTCAGTTAGGAGCCAGCGAATGCCTGTGCACCACACTGCTCACTTACCACCTCTCTGGGATTCCACCTCTCAAATCCAGATGGCCTGGCGCCTCTTAAGGTCGTCCTGTCTCTTCAGCCAGGAAGGTTACTCCTTTATTCCCCTCACAATGAAATAGTAAATTCCCTTGGGGAAATCCTGAGTAAACAGATGCTCACATTGAGGGGCTTCCATTTTCTCAGGGATCACAGTCCAAGTCTTACCTGAGCTGATTGCTTTTCAGTGCTTTCAGTTAGTTTATGTTGCCCAGTTTTATAATTATGCGTTAACTAGAGGGCTAGTTCTCTATAAGCTATTTTGTAATAGCTGGTTCATAAAGTATTACTTCTTTTTTAGAGGACTCCTAAAAAGCCACATTCATAAAGTATTACTTCTTTTTTAGAGGACTCCTAAAAAGCCACATTTTTAAGAGCAAATGGGAGCTGAAGCTTACCTCTAAAGCCTTTATTTTTTTAAAATTTTTTACTAAGGTATGATTGACATACACTCTTATGAAGGTTTCACATGAAAAAACAATGTGGTGACTACATTTACCCATATTACAAAGTCCCCACCCATACCCCAATGCAGTCACTGTCCATCAGTGCAGCAAGTTGCCAGAGATCCACTATGTCCCTTCTCTGTGCTACACTGTTCTCCCCGTGATCCCCCACACCATGTGTACTAAACATAATACCCCTCAGTCCCCTTCTCCCTCCCTCCCCACCGCCCTCCCACACCCCTCCCCTTTGGTAACCGCTAGTTCATTATTGGAGTCTCTGAGTCTGCTGCCATTTTGTTCCTTCAGTTCTGCCTCATTGTTATACCCCACAAATGAGGGAAATCATTTGGCATTTGTCTTTCTCTGCCTGGCTTATTTCACTGAGCATAATGTCCTCCAGTTCCATCCATGTTGTTGCAAATTGTAGGATTTGCTTCTTTCTTATGGCTGAATAGTATTCCATTGTATATATGTACCACCTCTTTATCCATTCATCTACAGATGGACACTTAGGTTGCTCCATATCTTGTCTATTGTAAAAGTGCTGCTGCAATAAACATGGGCGTGCATATGTCTTTTTTAATCTGAGAAGTTGTATTCTTTGGATATATTCCAAGGAATGGGATTCCATGGTCAAATGGTATTTCTATTTTTAGTTTTTTGAGGAACTTCCATATTGCTTTCCACAATGGTTGAACTAGCTTACATTCTCACCAGTGTAGGAGGGTTCCCCTTTCTCCACATCCTCGCCAACATTTGTTGTTCTTAGTCTTTTAGATGCTGGCCATCCTTACTGGTGTGAGGTGATATCTCATTGTGGTTTTACTTTGCATTTCCCTGATGATTAGTGATGTGGAGCATCTTTTCATGTGTCTGTTGGCCATCTGAATTTCTTCTTTGGAGAACCATCTCTTCATATCCTCTGCCCATTTGTTAACTGGGTTATTTGCTTTTTGGGTGCTGAGGTGTGTAAGTTCTTTATATATTTTGGATGTTAACCCCTTGTCAAATATGACATTTACAAATATATTCTCCCATACTGTAGGATGCCTTTTTGTTTTGTTGATGATGTCCTTTGCTGTACAAAAACTTTCTAATTTGATGTAGTCCCATGAGTTCATTTTTGCTTTTGTTTCCCTTTCTTGAGGAGATGGGTTCAGGAAGAAGTTGCTGATGCTTATATTCAGGAGATATTTGCCTATGTTGTCTTCTAAGAGTTTTATGGTTTCATGACTTACATTCAAGTCTTTAATACATTTCAAGTTTACTTTTGTGTATGGGGTTAAACAATAATCCAGTTTCATTCTTTTGCATGTACCTGTCCAGTTTTGCCAACACCAGCTGTTGAAGAGGCTGTCATTTCCCCATTGTATGTCCATGGCTCCTTTATCATATATTAATTGACCATATATGCTTGGGTTTATATCAGGGCTCTCTAGCCTGTTCCATTGGTCTATGAGTCTGTTCTTATACCAGTACCAAATTGTCTTGATTACTGTGACTTTGTAGTAGAGCTTGAAGTTGGGGAGCATAATTCCGCCTGCTTTATTCTTCCTTCTCAGGATTGCTTTGGCTATTCAAGGTCTTTTGTGGTTCCATATGAATTTTAGGATGATATTCTCTAGTTTGTTGAAGAATGCTCTTGGTATTTTGATAGGAATTGCATTGAATCTATAGATTGCTTTAGGCAGGATGGCCATTTTGACAATATTAATTCTTCCTATCCATGAGCACAGGATGTGTTTTCATTTACTCGTATCTTCTTTAATTTCTCTCATGAGTGTCTTGTAGTTTTCAGAGTACAGGTTTTTCACTTCCTTGGTTAGGTATATATTTGATGGAATTGTTTTCCTCATTTCTCTTTCTGCTAGTTCATTGTTAGTATATAGGAATGCCACAGATTTCTGTGTATTAATTTTGTATCCTGCAACTTTGCTGAATTCAGATATTAGATCTAGTAGTTTTTGAGTGAACTCTTTAGGGTTTTTTATGTACAATATCATGTCATCTGCAAACAGGGACAGTTTAACTTCTTCCTTGACAGTCTGGATGCCTTTTATTTCTTTGTGTTGTCTGATTGTCGTGGCTAGGACTTCCAGTACTATGTTGAATAGAAGTGGGGAGAGTGGGCATCCTTGTCTTGTTCCCGATCTTAGGTGAAAAGCATTCAGCTTCTCGCTGTTAAGTATAATGTTGGCCGTGGGTTTGTCATATATGGCCT